GCTCAGGAGGCTGAGGTGGGAGGATCCCTTGAGCCCAGGAGGCAGAGGTTGCAGTGAGCTGAGATCATGCCATCGCATTCCAGCCTAGGCAGCAGAGTCAGACCCTGTTTCAAAAAAAAGAGAAGTTGAGTATTTGTCCCAGCTCACGGAGCTAGTAAATAGAGAGACCAGGATTCAGTCTCACGTTTGTCTCTTTCAATGACTGTTTTTATGTTTACTTGGTTTATTTATGTTTTCTCTTTTAGATTAATTTATATGATGATGTTTCAGAGGACTTTTAGCCCTAGGTGTGATAACGCCAGCTTGATTTTAGAATTCCCTGGGATATGCGGTGTGTAGATGCTATCTGTGACCCACGAAGGCAGAGAATGTTTTATCGGTCACTCCACAGCTCTGACTCTAAGATAAAGTCTCCATGAGTTAGGAGGGAAGTACATTACTGCCTACATTACTGTCCCCCCAGGGAAAAACATCCGTTAAGGGGCCACAGCGCTGGTCCCCTTCCCAGTTGTAGTAATGCTTGCATGTCCCTTAACCAGCAGAGGGCAGACTTGTGGTCCCAATGAACAGAAGTGTGGAAAGAAACTGAACTTGAAGGTTTAAACAGGGAAGGGGGAAGGTTTCGGGAAAATGGCGCTCCCATCACCTGCTGGTGCAGAGGCAGGGCTGTTTTGTGGACGATGTGTTTGATTCTCTGGGTCCTTCCTTCTTTCTTTCCTTTCTTCCCTCCCTCCCTCCCTCCCTCCTTCCCTTCTTCCTTCCTTCCTTTCTTTCTTTTCTCGGAGTTTCGCTCTTGTTGCCCAGGCTGAAGTGCAATGGAGCAATCTCAGGTCACTGCAACCTCTGCCTCCCGGGTTCAAGCAATTCTCCTGCCACTGCCTCCCGAGTAGCTGGGATTACAGGCATGCACCACCACACCTGGCTAATTTTTTGTACTTTTTTTTGGTAGAAATGGGTTTCACCATGTTAGCCAGGCTGGTCTCGGACTCCTGACCTCAGGTGATCCGCCCACCTCAGCCTCCCAAAGCCTTGGGATTACAGGCATGAGCCACAGTGCCTGGCCTCTCTGGTTCTTTTCAAAAGTGCATGATCTCCTTCCAGAAGGCTCACAATAAGCGGACATACAGCCTTAGATCTCTTTTCCCAGACCTGGTTTATCTTCTTTTTTTTTTTTTTGAGACAGAGTCTTGCTCTGTCGCCCAGACTGGAGTGCAGTGGCATGATCTTGGCTCACTGCAACCTCCGCCTCCCAGGTTCAAGCAATTCCCTGCCTCAGCCTCCCAAGTAGCTGGGATTACAGTTGCCCACCACCACACCCAGCTAGTTTTTGTGTTTTTAGTAGAGATGGGGTTTCACCATCTTGACCAGGCTGGTCTTGAACTCTTGACCTGGTGATCCACCTGCCTTGGCTTCCCAAAGTGCTGGGATTACAGGCATGAGCCACCATGCTTGGCCATCTTTTTGTATTATTATTTTTTTTTTGAAAAAGGGTCTCACTCTGTCACTCTGTCAGGCTGGAATGTAATGTTGTGATCTTGGCTACTGCTACCTCTACCTCCTGGGCTCAAGCAATCTTCCCATCTCAGCCTCCTGAGCAGCTGGGACTACAGGCACATGCCTCCACACCTGGCTAATTTTTGTATTTTGTGTAGAGACAGGGTCTTGCTATGTTGGCCAGGCTGGTCTCAAACTCCTGGGCTCAAGCAACCTGACTGCCTTGGCCTCCCGAAGTGCTGGGATTACAGGCATGAGCCACCGTGCCCGGCCTACTCCCTGTTTTCCATTGTGAAGCTGATCCTTGGCCTGAAAATATTCTAGGAGCAAAACCTGTTTCTGCCATGTGGGACACCATCAAGGAGAGGGTTTTTCCCTGCATCCTCATTTTCGGTAGGTACTCAGGGGCTCAGAGCCACAGCTGCAAAGTCAGACCGTGTGCTCAGGCCTCAGCATGCTACATGAGGCCACAGCACGCTGCTGGAAGCGGGATGCTGAATCTAGAAGGTGATGGATGGATTAACATGAGCAAAGTCACTCAGGTTTTTACTTCACGAAAAAGGAAATTACCAAGAGAATCTTCAGCCAAAATCCTGTCCAGACTGAAACTCTGATGAACTTACCCAAATCTTCCCTTTCACAGGCTTACCTGAGTGACACTTCCAGGAAGATTCCACGAAAGCCACGGCTTCTCCAAGTTCATTGTTTCCTGGAGAAACACGCTTTCACCCACCACCTGGCCCTCTGCAGCTTGTAAGAGATGTGTGTGACAAAGTCATGTTAATCACAATACGCTGTTCATGCAGAGGCTGTCCATGTTACCAACAGTATCTTAGTAGAGTCAAGAGTTTTCTTTTTAAATTTTTAATTTAATTTTTGAATAAAGATGGGGTCTCACAAGGTTGCTGCAGCTGGTCTTGAACTCCTGGCCTCAAGTGATCTTCTCCTACCTTGGGCCTCCCACGGTGCTGGGATTACGGGTGTGAGCCACCACACCCAGGCTCAAGCATTTTCTTTGTCTTTTTAAATTTATTTTTATTTTGTTTGAGATAGGGTCTCACTCTAGAGTGGCCCAGACTGGAGTGCAACGTGGCACAATCTCAGCCCACTGCAAACTCCACCTCCCAAGTTCAAGCAGTTCTCCTGCCTCAGCCTCCTGTGTGGCTGGGATTACAGGCACACACCACAACACCCAGATAATTTTTGTATTTTTAATAGAGATGGGGTTTCTCCACGCTGGCCAGGCTGGTTTTGAATTCCTGACCTCAGGTGATCCACCCGCCTTGGCCTTTCAAAGTGCTGGGATTATAGGCATGAGCCACTGTGCCTGACCTCCTTCAAGCATTTTCAAAATTTCTTCTGAATAGGGGTGGTAGAGGGTGGTATTGAAGCATTTTTCTTCTACCTCTTCTGTCCTCCTCACTCTCAAATATGTCTGATTATATCGAAAGTTTAGGGTTGTTGCTGAGCCTAGTGTGGTGGTCATTGGGGAGAATCCTGAGAATGACATAGATGCTGTTTCTTCAATGAAGGCGGAGGGGAGTTCTCACTCCAAGCAATGAGCTTACTCCAGAAACAGCCTATCTGTTGGATTCCTGCATTTCATATGAGGTTTGAGTAACTAGTTCCTTGCAAACAATATGAAAGACAAAAGTTTCAAGGTTTAGAATCACCATGGCAACGCCCCAGATTCCCTGCCATGCCCAGGTCTTGGAGTGGTAGGAATTGCTCAAACAATTTTTTGAAATTGGCCAAAGCTTCAAGACCTACAGGGTTTTCCATTTGGTGCTCAGAATGTGAATTTTTTTTTTTTTTTTGAGACGGAGTCTCAGAGTCTCGCTCTGTTGCCCAGGCTGGAGTGTTGTGGCACGATCTCGGCTCACTGCAGTCTCTGCCTCCCTCCCAGATTCAAACGATTCTCCTGTCTCAGCCTCCCGAGTAGCTGGGACTACAGGCACGTGCCATCATGCTTGGCTAATTTTTTTTTTTGGATTTTTAGTAGAGATGGGGTTTCACCATCTTTAGCCAGGATGCTCTCGATCTCCTGATTCTCCCGCCTCGGCATCGCAAAGTGAAATGTGAATTTTTACAGCTGCCAGGGCGAAGTCTCCTGTTCTATGGGTATAGCGGGTTGAATCCTGGCTCCCAAAAGTGGTGTCCAAGTCCTAACCCCCAGAACATGTGAAAGTGACCTTATTTGGAGAAAGGTCTTTGCAGATGTAATGAAGGATCTTGAGATCATCTTGGATTTAGGATGGACTCTAGAGCCACTGACAGGTGTCCTTATTAGAAAAAGGTAGAGGGAGATTTGAGACACAGACACAGGGGAGTGGGCCGTGAGAAGACAGAGGCGGAGATTGGGGTGAAGAAGCCACAGGCCAACAAATCGCTGATACTGGAAGAAGCAGAAAAGGAGTTTGTCCTAGGGTCTTCAAAGGGAGCCTGGATCTGCTGGCACCCAGATTTTGGACTTCTGACCTCCAGAGCTGGAAGAAAATAAATTTCTGTTGTTTTAAACTGGCAAGTTTGTTACAGCATGCTCAGAAAACTAATACTCTGGGTGATTTCTGCTCCTCTACCCCACGCCTCTCCATGCTTGGGTTGAAGCAGAGGAGAGTGCTTTCCCCTTGCCTGAACAACACTTTTTTTCTTGAGAAAAGAAAGGAAAACCTAAGGGTAAAGCAGTTTTTGGAAGGGTTACTCAGTCAGCCAGATCATCAGCATCAACCCTGGGTTGAGCGGGCTGTGCTTGGGCCGCAAGCGTTCATCCTAGGGAATCCTGAGAGAGTCATTCTCCCTAACAATGGCTCTGGGCCTGGCTTTGCATTAGTCTGTTCTTGCATTGCTGTAAAGAACTACCTGAGACTGGGCCATTTATAAAGAAAAGAGTTAAATTGGCTCACGGGTGGTTCCACAGGCCGTACAGGAAGCATGGTTGGGGAAGCCTCAGGAAACTTACAATCATGGCGGAAGGCGAAGGGGAGGCAGACATGTCCCACATGGCTGGAGCAGGAGGAAGAGAGAGCAAAGAGGAAGGTGCTACACACATTAAACAATGAGCTCTCACGAGAACTCACTCATTATCACCTGGACAGCAAGAGGGAAGTTTCCCCCATGATCCAATCACCTCCCACCAGGCCCGTCTTCCAACATTGGGGATTATAATTTGACATGAGACTGGGTGGTGCCACAAATCCAAACCATATCAGGGACCTTTTCCACCCCTGCCGCCGTCCTCCCCTCTACCTGAAGCTCGTTTGAAAGCTAGTTTCCATTGCTGCTATTCCTTCCTCACTTTGGTCAGAATCCTCTTTTTGTGGTATCATAAATGGTTTCCATGGAAACAAAAGGTTGGGATAGAATGGTGCCAACATGCATGTAAACTTCAGAATTAAACAAGGGCTGTTGTTTTTGCCTGTCGTGGAGTTCCGTTCCTTCTGAACATGTCCCTGGGGACTTTGGAATGTGTATCCATAACTCCCTGATTTTCAACCACATTCCAGCCTGCCTGACTAATGAGGCGTGGGGCGACCCAGGAACACCCCCCTCCTCATGTACCACACTCTTCAGGCTTTCTCTTAGTTTTGGCATGTGCATGTAAATGTCAACAGGTGAGGTGAGATTTGCTGTAAAGAAGCAGATGGTCCCACAGGGTAGGCTGTGGGAGAGATGGAAATTCTAGCAGGAGATATCACAGCCAAAGAATAGCAATCTAGGCATATCATTTGTTTAGTGCATCAGAACCAGTGAGTCGAGGAGGAAAGGAGACCCAAGGCGATGCAGTTGCCTTCACGACCAGAGCGTACACCTGCTTCCTGCCAGAACCAAGGACATCGCGACCGACGTGCACAGACTTCTCCAAGGTTGTTTAGTCATTGGCAAAAACAGGCCTTCACCCATCCTTGAACTGCATCCAGGTAACTGAGATGCGCCCCCAGTAGAGGAGCCCACGGGGAGGTTCTGAGTCCCTGACACGCTGCACCTTTACAAGAGACGCTACCTGGGAGTTCTTATTTCCGAGTAAGTGGGGTGGCCATATTATCACCCAGACTAGAACTCTTTTTCACAGTGAGAATCTGGTCTGTCCCTGGAGAAGACAGACATCTGGTAACCCTATCTTTATTTTATTTCATTTTTTTGAGATGGAGTCTTGCTCTGTTGCTCAGGCTGGAGTGCAGTGGTGCGATCTCAGCTCACTGCACCCTCCGCCTCCTGGGTAGAATTGATTTTCCTGCCTCAGCCTTCTAAGTAGCTGGGACGACACCAGCCACCATGCCTAGCTATTTATTTATTTATTTATAGACAGAGCCATGCTCTGTCGCCCAGGCTGGAGTGCAATGGCACTGTCTCACCTCACTGCAACCTCCGCCTCTCGGGTTCAAGTGAATCTCCTGCCCTGAAAAATTTCAGCATCCCAGGCTGGGCATGGTGGCTAATGCCTGTAATCCCAGCACTTTGGGAGGCCGAGGTGGGCAGATTGCTTGAGCTTAGGAATTTGAGACCAGGCTGGCCAACGTGGCGAAACCGTGTCTCTACTAAAAATACAAAAATTAGCTGGGTATGGTGGTTCATGCCTGTAATCACAGCTACTTGGGAGGCTGAGGCAGGAGAATTGCTTGAAATTGGGAGGCAGAGGTTGCAGTAAGTCAAGATCGTGCCACTGCATTCCAGCCTGGGCGACAGTGTGAGACTCCATCTCAAAACAATAAAAATAAATAAATAAATAAATATAAATAAACAAAATGTCTTGTTCTCTTTTTTCCTCCAGTGCCCAGATCAGCGCAACATACTCTTGGCACACGATAACTACTTGTGAAATTCGTGAAGGAATTTGGATGGTTAGGGGGTTGCTTAGGATCCGTTGCTTTTAGGGAAGATTCTCTGGCTGATGTGTGAGCGCCCTGACCTCCTCACTGGCGTCCAGCCCCCTTGCAATGCTTCTCTAAGTTTGACCTATATTTCACTTAATTCAGTGGCTCTCAACTGGGGGTGCTCTTCCCCTTGCAGGGGAGGTTTGGCAATAAATGGGGACATTTTTGGTTCTCACAAGGGAGGGGACAGGTGCTACTGGCATCTAGTGGGTAGAGGCCTGAGATCCTGCTATTAATAAATACCCTATGTCAGGCCAGGCATGGTGGCTCACGCCTGTAATCCCAGCACTTTGAGAGGACATGGTAGGCGGATCACCTGAGGTCAGAAGTTCGAGACCAGCCTGGCGAACATGGTGAAACCCTGTCTCTACTAAAAATACCAAAATTAGCCAGGCGTGGTGGTGAACACCCATAATCCCAGGTACTCCAGAGGCTGAGGCTGGAGTATCGCTTGAACCTGGGAGGTGGAGGTTGCAGTGAGCCGAGATCACGCCATTGGACTCCATCCTGGGCGACAGGAGCAAAACTCCTTCTCAAAAATTAATAAATAAGTAAATATATACATACCCTATGTCATGCCCAGGACAGCTTCCCCTAACAAAAAATTATCTGGACAGATGTCAACTGTCTCAAGGTTGAGAACCCTGGTCTATCCCGATCATATTAGGAATGATCTAGTCTGCATTTAATAAGAGGGAAGTCTTTTGAGGGGCTGTTATGGATTGAATTGGGTCTCCCCAATTCATATGTTGAAGGCAAGTCCTATCCCCAGGACCTCAGAATGTGTCTGTATTTGGAGATAGAGCCTTTGAAGTAATTTGATTAAAATGAAATCAGTAGGCTGGGCACAGTGGCTCACGCCTGCAGTCCCAGCTACTCAGGAGGCTGAGGCAGGAGAATCACTTAAACCTGGGAGGTGGAGGTTGCAGTGAGCCGAGATCGCACCACTGCACTCCAGCCTGGGCGACAAGAGTGAAACTTCGTCTCGAAAAAAAAAAAATAAGTCATTGGGGTGGGGTCCTAATCCACTGTGACTGGTGTCCTTTTAAAAGGGAAGTTTGAATACAGATGCACACAGAGGGAAAATGGTGTGAAGATGCAGGAAGGAGACTCCCACCTTAGGGGCATGATGAGGTGTCTGCAAGTCGAAGGATGTCAAGGCAACCTCTTCAAGCCACAGAGACAAGAAAGGATCCTCCCTTAGAGCCGCCAGGGAAAGCGTGGTCTTGGGGATGCCTGGGTTTAGATTTCAAGCCTCTAGAACTATGATGAGAGAATATATATGACAGTCTCTGTCACCCAGGCTGGAGTAGAGTGGCATGACCCTGGCTCACTGTAGCCTCGACATCCTGGGCTCAAGCAATGCTCCCACCTCAGCCTCCCAAGTAGCAGGGACCACTATGCCTGTAATTTTTATTGTTTTTAAAAATTTTTTTGTGTTTTTCTTGGAGATGGGGGTTTCACTATGTTGCCCAGACTCAAACTCCTAGCCTCAAATGATCCTCCTGCCTTGGCCTCCCTAAGTGCTGGGGTTACAGGTGTGAGTCACTGTCCCCACTGAGATTCCTGTTGCTTTAAGCCACTCAGATTTTGGTACTTAGGGCAAACTAAAGCCAGGGCAGAGTCAGGGCTAAATCTAAACTTGATACTAATGGGCTCTCTACCCTGCGATGATTAAGGTTTCTTGGAAAAGGGAAGGGTTTTACAAGGATAGTGGTTAGATCCTCCTGTGGGAGGTGAGACCAGAATATTTAGTCTGTTGGCCATCATGAGACTCAGGACCTGGAGTTGGCCAAGAACACTGGTATAATAAATGTTCAAAGCCGCCAGTCACCAAAGCCTTTCATGGGTAAATGACCCCAGCACAATGTGTTTTTTGCTAATATTAACTTTGGTTCTATTTCAGATCAATAAAGGCAAAAACCAGGAGATCCCATAAATCCTGCTGAGCCTGTCATAGCTGTCAAATTATGCCCAGATAAAGCTTCTGGTGGCTAATGACATGGCCATCACCCAGCGTGGCTGTGGGCAGGAGGGGGCTCTCCAAGAGCATCTGGTCTGCTGTGGAGACACTTGTCACGAAGTATCATCTGGAGGCTCTGTGGCTGTAATGGAGAGTGACGCTTTGAACGTGATTATCTCCCCCATAAAGAAATAAATAAATAATAAGGATAATTTAAAAATAAACAAAGATCTAGATTTGCAGGCTACTTACTGCCCCAGGACCAAGATTAATGGCCAGTGGCAAATTTTCGTGAAGATCTTCTGTAGCCCGATTAGCCGTGCTGGGAGTCCAGAGAGATAATGCCTTTTCACATATAAAAGATCCTATTGATTTCCTGTTAGTATTATCCTGAAAATGTGCAGTGTATACCTATGAAGCAGAGACAATCTTCCATCACTTGTTTTATGGGAAGAGAATGGTTATTGTATCTCTTCCCATAAAATATAATCTCTTTTTCTCTTCCAAAATCTACTCGTCCCTCTGGGAATTTCCACTTGTAATCTGTGGAAGTGAATTGATTTTTTTATTTTATTTTATTTTTTTCCATGTGCCAGTATTTTTATATTTGGCTTCTCTACATTTTCTCATTGTTCTCTGGAGTCTGGCTTTTCTAGATTGTTATTTGAGCTTGTCTAAAAATAAGTTTTTTTAAAAAGTCAGTCCCATTGAAACACACACAGCCATGGACACCACAGTGGCTGTGAGGTACCAGTGATGGCGCCCCACCTTTCTCCCCCATCGGGGGTTGGCGTTTGTAAGTTCCTAGCAGGGCTTCGGAGGCAGTAAGGTTGCCCATTGGATTCCAGCAGGATGCAGATGAGAAATACCAAGTCACTGAATGAAGGAAGTGGTCTTCCTGCTGACTGGGGTTTTCGGCATTGTGTCTGGGCATTTCTTCAGGATCAATTAAGATGCAAGGGCAGAGTCCTGCTTATTGAAATTTCGTGCCCTGAGTAGCAGCTTCCTAAGCTAATGAGTTTGGCTGAGAAGACCCCAGCAATGCAGCCCTGTCCAGACCATACATAGAGAGCTTTGCAAACTCGAGCTCCAGCTAGGAAGCCAGTCCTTGTGGTTCTACCCTGCGCCTCTCTATCAAGGTAGCTCCCCCTCAATTCTCCTTCCTACAACCGCCCCACACTTTGAGGTCCAGCCCCTCCCCAAGCCCGTTCCACACTTTCCACCCGCCACCGGTTTCTCTCTCTCCCGGAGCTCCTGCGGTAGTTAGGGATTGCACCGTCCTGGCCAGCATTTAATTACAAGCACCTTTTATTGTTCTCCGCTTATTGCACCTGTGCTATTTTACAGCAGTATGTGCCTCGTCTTCAAGCTTCACCTTGTTCTCACTCCTTCTGCTTCCACACTATGGCTGGGGTCTATCAAATTTATTTTGCACGATCGACAGAAGATTTTTAAATATATATGTGACTGTGTGTGTGTGTGTGTGTGTGTGTGTGTGTGTGTGTGTGTAGAAACAGAGAGGGGGGAGAGAGAGAGAGACAGAGTTAGAGAGAGAAAGAGAGAGAGAGACACACACACACTGGGCGTGGTGGCTCACGTCTGTATGTCTGTAATCCCAGCACTTTGGGAGGCTGAGGCAGGCAGATCAAAAGGTTAGGAGTTTGAAACCAGCCTGGCCAACATAGTGAAACCTTATATCTACTAAAAATACAAAAATTAGCCGGGTGTGGTGGCACGTGCCTGTAGTCCCAGCTACACAGGAGACTGAGGCAGGAGAATCACTTGAAACTGGGAGGCGGAGATTGCAGTGAGCTGAGACCACAACCCCCCCAAAAAAATATATATTTAAATAGTTATATTGTATAGCATAAATATATAATAAATTATAACATGAGTACATTATATTAACATATATAGTATATATTATAACATGAATATATAATGTAAATGTAAATCTTGGTGCTATGGTTTCCCAAATTCACATGAATTCATATTACTTCTAACCCCTAGTACCACAGATTGTGACTCTATTTGGAGACAGGGTCTGTAAGAGAGAATCAAGTTAAAATGAGGCTACTAGGGCAGGCTGTAATCCCATATGACTTCTGTCTTCATAAGAAGAGATTAGGGCCGGGCACGGTGGCTCACGCCTGTAATCCCAGCACTTACGGAGGCCGAGGCAGGTAGATCACTTGAGATCAGGAGTTCGAGACCAGCCTGCCCAACATGGTGAAACCCCATCTCTACTAAAAATACAAAAATTAGCTGGGCATGGTGGTGCATGTCTTTAATCCCAGCTACTTGGGAGGTTCGCGCCACTGCACTCCAACCTGGGCGACAGAGCAAGACTCCATCTTAAAAATAAATAAATAAGGCTGGGTGTGGTGACTCACGCCTGTAATCCTAGCGCTTTGGGAGGCTGAGACAGGGGAATCACAAAATCATGAGGTCAGGAGATTGAGACCATCCTGGCCAACATGGTGAAACCCTGTCTCTACTAAAAATACCAAAATTAGCTGAGTGTGGTGGCACATGCCTGTGATCCCAGCTACTCAGGAGGCTGAGGCAGGAGCATCGCTTGAACCCGGGTGGCGGAGATTGTAGTCAGCCAAGATCATGCCACTGCACTCCAGGCTGACGACAGGACAAGACTCCATCTCAAAATAAATAAATGAATAATAAATTAATAAAATAAATAAATATAAAAGATTAGGACCCACAGGAGGACTACCGTGTGAGTCCACAGGGAAGAGATGGGGTCTACAAGCCAAGGAGGGGAGGCCTCAGGAGAAACCAGCCCTACGCACACCTTGATCTTGGACTTCCAGCCTCGAGGACAGGGTGGAAATAAATCTCTGTTGATTGGGCTGCCCAGCCTGCTGTACGTTGTTATGGCAGCCCCAGCGAACTATTAATAATACAATTAGCCATTCGTAGAGCCCCATGACTCAGGACAAAGGCCAACTTTCTTACCCTGATATTCAAGACCCTCCATGTCCTTGTCCCATCCCACATTCCAAACCTGTCTTCTTCCTCCCAGGTTGGAACCCTCTGTCCACCAAATCTGGTTGATTCCCAGACTCCTCCACTCCCAAACGCCTCCCATCTCTGCCCCTTTGCCTTTTCTTCTTTTTCTGAGACAGGGTTGTCTCACTCTGTTGCCCAGGCTGGAGTGCAGTGGCGTGATCATGGCTCACTGCTAACCTCCCAGGCTCAGGTGATCCTCCCACCTCAACCTCCTGAGTAGCTGGGAGTACAGATGCATGCCATCTCTCCCAGCTAGTTTTTTGTATTTTTTGTAGAGATGATGTTTCACTATGTTGCCCAGGCTGGTCTTGAACTTCTGGCCTCAAGTCATCCTGCCTTAGCCTCCCAAAGTGCTGGGATTACAGGTGTGAGCCACTATGTCTGGTCAATATTTTGTTAATCAGGACATGTGGAAGTTTCTTGTGGATTTTGCAGTGGTTTTCAAACTGTGCTCCCTAGGTCCTTCACCCAGGGGCTACAGTTGTGTGTAATGGGGTGGGGGCAACTGGAGAAAAGGGCCAGCCCCTTCTGTGTACCTACTCATTAGGCAGGGCGATTACTTTTTTCCAGTGTGATTTGCTTGCTCTTCCATATATTGTTTAAAAAGGGATTCTGGGCCAGGCAAGGTAGCTTACGCCTGTAATTCCAGCACTTTGGGAGGCCAAATGGGAGGATCACCTGAGGCCAGAAGTTTGAGGCCAGATTGGCCAACATGGAGAAACCCCATCTCTAATAAAAATACAAAAATTATCTGGGTGTAGCGGTGCGCACCTATAGTCTCAGCGGCTCGGGAGGCTGAGGCAGGAGAATCGCTTGGACCCAGGAGGCGGAGGTTGAAGTGAGCTGAGATTGTGCCACTGCACTCCAGCCTCGGTGACAGAGTGAGACCTTGTCTCAAAACAACAACAAAACCCAAAAAAGCAAAAACAATGAAAAGGGGTTCTGTGGGGGTGGCAATAAAGTTCTATCCCAGCTGTAATGACAAGAAAAAGTCCAAAAAAGTCACACAAAGCTAATGGTCCTTGCTCAGGAAACACTTAAGCCAACAAAACCCATAACGCTTTTATCTAGACTTCCTAGAACTGGACTCATTGCTAAGGATAAACTCAATTATCAAAACTCATTGACTCTGAAAATGTAACTTGCATATACTGCTGCCCATTCCAATTCATCAGATAGGCAGCTGTTCCACCGTTAATGTAATCACTCCTTACCTCGTTATTAATCTGTTTTCTAAGTTTGAAAGGATGACAGTGTGGATTCTCTGATGCAGATGTGGACATTTGCCAGGTCACATCTGGCCAGGGGTTTGTTGCACAATGACTTCATGAAGAAATCAATTCCCGTTTCCTTCAGCTGACCTTAGGGTCATCTTCACAGGCTTGATTCTCTCTATTGTAATATCAAAATTAAATTTCAGCCCAGGTGATTTATGCAGTGCTATTTCTTTCAGAAGTTAACAGCACACAGTGCATGTTCACAAGGTCCCTGCAAGGCAAGGAGGGGAAGCTCTATAATTCTGTCCAGCTTTTGTGTATAGAGACATTCATAGGAAGAGGAAGAGCTGGGCATAAAGTCCTGTCTATCCATGGCTACGGTCACAGGTCACTCTCCAGGCCACATTAGCAGAAATGTCGCTGGGTCAGGGCTAATTGCCGAGCAATCACATCCCAGGCCTTTGCTGGGGTCTTGTGCATGAAATATGTCTCCCCTAAGTCTGTGAGAATTACGTTAAAGTCCAGCTGGGCATGGCGGTGCACGTCTGTAGACCCAGCTACTTGGGAGGCTGAAGCTGGAGGATTGCTTGAGCTCGGGAGATGGAGGCTGTGGTGAGTTATGATTGCACCATTGCACTCTAGCCTGAGCGACAGTGAGATCCTGACACACACACACACACACACACACACACACACACACACACACACAGAGAGAGAGAGAGAGAGAGAGAGAGAGAGAGAGAGAGA